AATAGATTGAAAGGTAATATTTTAACAAATATTCATTTGTATTTAAACACATTGTTAAGGGAGTATTAAAAACATTGTAAACCCAAATAAACGTATATAAATCGTTTATGACTCCTCCTTTAAAATGATTTATTTTTTATTTACTCCTTTTTTTTACTAGGCATTGCCAAATGAATTATTACAAAATGAGATAGCATCTGCCGTGGACATACTTGACAGAGGAAATGGTTTTAATACTTTTGAGTTTTACGTGTATCAAAAATTCTTTGAAAGAGTGTATAATATAATGCTGACAAAATCAACAAAAGAAAACTCAGACTTTGGAAATTATATTACAATCTTAAAATATACAGGTATACTAACTATAATAGATGAGTTATATTTTACTTAATTATATATCCATTGATTTTCATAATGCTCGCCATAAGTATTTCTCGGTGCTATTTAGCATGGGTATAAAATAAACATAATACACGGTTTTTAAAGTAATTGTGTCATTTATCTAAAAATCTGTCAATCGATTTAAATGTCTATTTGCCAGACTGTAAAACGAAATAAGAAGAAAATCAAGTATTTGTACATGTAATAATTTAGAGCATATTATCTTTAAAAAAAATTGCGTTAATCTTTAAATGTATTTGTATAAACTCAGAAATATTTTTTGTTTTATCTATTTCTATGTATTCACGATATAATTTGTTACGTAATTGTTGCTGATATAAAAGCATGACGGTAAAACTGCATTTAATGTGTTTTTTTTCTCAAGAATTCACAATTCGTCCAATGAGAGAGAACAACCTCCTTGACATTGATGCACCAGTTTTTATAAACGTCATTCTACAAACCTTGACAATGTTTAGTAATTTTAGCAAGAAATTAGCAGAAGTAATTACTTTTTTATTAAATGCGTTAAAAATTAATACGGAATAATCAAAGTATCTAACACGTAATCATTTTTTTTGGAATTGGAACTTTGTAAAACTTACATTAATACACTTTTTAAAATGTAATGTATTACAGTCAATGGTGCAACATGGTATATTTGGAGTTCTTATCAAGCGTTTACGGTATATCAAGGTGCAAAGTTTAAGCAAGGTTGGTATACATGCCTTATTTTTCTTAAACAGAAATTGTGTCGACTGAATAAAGTTTCAATTTCAACTTTTATTTCATCATTTTTAATAAGCTAAGACTTAGTTTGAACCTACTTCAAGAGCAGCGATTTCGTATAAACTTTCCAGTTTCCAGGTTCGTCTTTTGCGATGATGCAAGAATATCTAATGTTTTTTAATTAAATAGATATTAAATAACCTTTTATTTTAATAACCTTTTATTTTAGTGATAAAACGGAAGACAGCAACACAATTACTTATTCTCTAGAATGTTTACAACAGTGATGTGTCTGTCCACATAAGTTCAAATGTCAACGGGGTTAAAAGAAAAAAGATAACAGTCTTTCTGTGATTTTTAGAAAATGATCAATTTAGATATATAGCAAAAAAAATAGGGATAATAAAAATAAACAAAAATACCCTATAATAAAACGCTTTTAAATGCACCTAAAATAAAAATAAAACATGGTTTCTTCGATAAAATCAATTGTCGCTTAAAAAGCTCTTAAGTTTATGGCGACCAATGATTAAAGAATTAAACTGTTTCTTTGTTTAAGTTATTTTAATTGCTATTAAAGGCTTAGTATTATAATGTATGTTATACGTAATTTATTGCTTTACCTTTTATGTATACTATGTTTGTATTATTTTTACATTATGCCTTTGTTTTATTAAGACTACTAGATAATTTCTATAAATGTAATTAAACTTTTAGTATTCTGTATTTAAAATTGTGTATTACGAGACATGTAAATCGCAATTTTAAAGGTTGTTGTGTTTTTAATTATGTTCTATTGATATAATATCTAAATTATTAAGTTCAATTCTTTATTTATATTTTAAATACTTTTTTTTTAAATTAAAATAATTAACTTCAAAAATTTATTTGTAAGCGGTTGTCTTTGATAACATAATTATATACATAGTAGAATAGTCAGAAACATAGTTATTTTACAAAGTTTTCATCCATTTTGTACATTAAAAAAAAGAATAGAAAAAAAAAAAAAAAAGCAGTAAGCGTTGAGGTAATTGGGGGAGGGGTAGGGGGTACGACCATTGGAGCAGGTAGAAGGGTCATGGGGATGTCAGCAATAAGGGTCATGTGGGCAGGTGGGGTGGCTGACGAAGCTTGAAAGGGTAAACATCTAACAGTAAATCAGGGTGAATATATAACCTTTGTACAAAAAGGAAACAAAAGCTGGTTAAATAAATAAACCGGGAGTGATCTCCCCTAAACTTTCTCGAATATTCTTATATAAAATAACAGGGGATGGGAACTCGGGCTATAGACATGATTTTGAATCCATTTTAAATACTTAAAGTTTTTAAAATAGAATAAAATCTCGTAGACAAATTAATTGCACACCAAGTGAACGCCAAATAAAAAAGCGCATAATAGTGCGCAATATTATTAGTACTTCTAAAATTTACATTAGTTTTTTGAGAAATCGAAAGTAGCGTAAATTACTACTTCCAGTCAACGGAAATTACTCAAAATTTAACAGAAGGTAGAGAATTAGATCTTTTACTTACATGTGAAATTTCATGTATCTATCTGAAATAGTACTCAAGTTATAGGCTTTTGAAAAATTCAAAGTAGGAAAAGTACCACTTCCGGTTATCGAAAATTGCTCAAAAGTTGATACGGATCTACGATTTTGATAAAATACTTATATATGAAATTTCATCAACCTAGCTGTAACGGTACTCAAGTAATCGTGTTTACACACGGACACACAGACACACACACACACACACACACACACACACACAGACATACGGACAAGATTGCAAAATTATGTTTTCCGTATCAGTGAGGTGTAAAACGTCGAGATTTGTAAAAATCTCGATTTTTTTTTGCACGATTACAATACTTTCTCTATACTTCGTATATACGAGAAAGTAAAAATATACAGTTCACACAATATGTGTTTTCACCCTATGTATAACCAGTAGAATAGTCACTCTCTCTCACACACACACACACACACACAAACTTCGTTGTTTTACACATATTTCATTTACATTTGTACAATAGTGAAATAAAAAATAGATAAAAAAATATCTGAAACTGATGTTGGGTTGGGTGGTGAGATCGTTGGAACGGTTAAAAGGGATGTGGGGTTATCATGTCTGAGGGTGATGTGGGCAGCGGGGGGGGGGGATTAATCTGACGAGGCATGGAGAGAGTGTCCTTGTGTGTTTAAGGCAAGCCAAGCGTCAAATGCTGTGCTGTGTGATCTAACTGCTGAAGTGTTATTATTTATAATGTGGGGGTGGGGGGGGGGGGGGGTGCCGAACAGATTGCTGTGGGATTAAGCGATAAGTGGGAGCGTGTAAGGTTGGTATGTTCAAGTCGTGTTTATTTTTATTTGAATATTTAGTACCGACAGATTAGGGTTGGGTAGGCGTGTTCCTATCTCGGGGTGTGGGGATACATTGGAGGTTTAAATGTCAAAAATTGGTTAACAGTGTTCTCATGAAATAATTTAAAAAAGGCCATACATTTTATTAAAGGTAACAAAACCATTGTAAGTATTAGCTTACAGATAATAAAATGAATACGAAAGGATGAAGGATCGTTGGGGGTGATTTTGTACGTCGTGGACCAATGAAGAAGACCCCCCGAAGAGATGCCTGGAAGAAACTCTGCATTTCAACCAACTCTGATGGGTATCTAACTTACATTAAGGAAAGTAAAGGCGGCTGGGCATAGTGCTGACCACATTATCCTTTTATATGCTGTGGTCAAGAAACGAATGAACTCTACTTTATCTGCCCAATGGATCGTTAGGTCTAAAGAGAATTCTTTACTTTTTAATATTATAAAATAACTTTTAAAGTAAAATATTATTCGACCAAATTACTGATACTTCTAAGGCTTGTGATACACACTGCTATTTAAAAACTAATTTTAAAGTAAATTCTAGGCATAAATGTGTTTTCAAAAAATATTATTGTTCTTACTTTAATGTAGTAACTTATTATAATATATGGATATATTTTAGGAATGGACACAATTTACGTATTTATCAGCTTGCATTATCTTAAACTGTATCTTGATTGTGGAGAATATTGATGATATTCAAAAAAAAGAACTAATAACGGTAATATGTGTAGTTTATTACGACAGCAACTTATTTTTCAAAGTCGCTACATATTCGAGTACGATTTATATTATACTGATTAAATTCAATCACACAATTTTTTCTACTAACTAGACACTTACCTAGGTGATTACTGAATTTTAAATAAATTGAAATGATTTAAATATAAAGAATAAAATATATCAATTAAAATATGTTTTTGTGTTGAATATGTTTTCTAGCATTTACTTACTTTTAATGCCGTTCCTTTAAATTAGGTTTTTAAAACGTTTGTTGAAATCAACGATATAAATTCAACCACGTGCACAAAACTGTTAATACTGTGTTTGGAAGGCACTGGTCAATTGCTATATCCCAGTAAAGGTATTCATTTGTGCGTGTTAATTTATTAATTGATGTATAACATATATATTATATAACACACACACACACACACATATATATATATATATATATATATATATATATATATATATATATATATATATATATATATATATATATATATATATATATATATAGGCTATATATATACTTATTTATTAATTTTTTTTTTTTTTTTTCAGGTGTAGTTCAAACTTTAGCTCAATGGATACTGCAGGGGAATAAAAACGTCAACAGGTCATTCAACAACCTGTCTATCACAACTTTATTAAAATGCCTTAGAGTGATTTGCTTAAGATCTGTAATGGTTTATGAGGTAATCATTTCTTACTTATTATTGTTCTCCTTTTAACCCCTTATTTTTCTTCCTTATGTTTTTTTTTAAATAATAATTTGAATATTATGATAATTTCTTCAGATTACCAGTGAAAACATGAATTTCTTTTTAGTTTGTTTTATTTTTTAGGATCTTAAAATTTACATTTGCATTTCAGATCCTAGATGCTGATATCTTAAACTGTTTGAACACAGTAATGCATTTTAACGACACCTCAGAACTAGAAGCTGCTGTTGATTGTTTATTAGCTATTGCCGAAAAAATGCCAGGAAATTACCATATTTCACAACACGAAGGAATCATGACATTGCTTACAACGTTGCAACAAACTAATGAAACTTCAACGCGGAAGAAAGCGGTTTCTGTCCTATGGCTCGTAAAACACGATGCTATAATCTTAAATGATTTTATTGGTAAAGTGATAGTTATCTTTTTACACGTTATAATTAAAGATGCATAGGTCTAAATCAAATATGTTTTGATAAATATTCTACATAAATTAAGTACATTATATGAATAATTATCCGTCAAACATTTATACAAAACATTATTTTAAATCTTTAGTGTTATTATTTTTTAAATTTAGATTCTGTGCTCAACTTTAAAAAAATGTACCAATCTTAAACAATCCTAATATATAAAAACCCATGTGCGCACTTCTCTCTGTCTCTCTCTCTCTCTCTCTCTCTCTCTATCTCTCTCTCTCTCTCTCTCTCTCTGTCTGCAAAATATTTTCGCCGGATATCACGTCAGAATTTGCAGCGATATATGGATACCTTTATACGGCTTTTCTTGAAAATAATATGTTAGATGTTTTAAATGTATAACCACAATTTTATTTAAAGAAGAAAAATAAAAAAATTAACGCGTATTCGAATGTAGAAAAACATTTTAATTATGCAACAGGAAACGCGTTTATAGTTGTGAAAAAGAACGCATAAAACAGTGACGTCACTAATGTTTACACATTAACTAATGACGTCCTCTACCGTGGTTAGAATAAAAAGAAATGAACTATTTCATTCCATTTGATTTAGATCTACGTACGCTATGAAATGTATACAATACAATTTTTCCGGCCTAAACTTATAGATGATAGTGTACTTAATACCACGCAGGTGGTGCGGGATCGAGACAAACCAAGTCAAACTTAATTTTTTATATTTTTTTTTATATGTGAATCTTCCGATTTTAGACTATAAAGGAAGAAACTACTTCATTCAAATTCGATTTAGATCTAGATCTATAAATCTAATCATCAAGACGTACGCTATGAAATATATACAATTTTATCGGTCAAACTAATACAAATTACTTAAAAACAGCATAATGACCATTGAATAGCCAGATTTTTAACGGAATCATTTAAGTGACTTAATCAGTGCAGGCATCTCTTCGGGGGGGGGAGGGGGTAGGAGCCCCCCTCGAAACAAGTCTACCGCCCCCCCCCCCCCCGAGCGAAATGAAATGTATATAGAAAATATATACTTTTAATAGTGTCCGCCCCCTCGAAGAAATTCCCCCCCCCCCACGGAGAAAAAAGTCTGGAAGAAACACTGAATTTGTGTGTGCCAGTGTTATGTTAAATGTGTCGGATTTTTAGCTAATTAGTTTTTCTTTGCTTTGTCACTAATATCTTTCAGCGTGTTCTAAAGCACATTGCGTTTTTACCAATAACTATTTCATAACTTATTTTTCTCAAACAAGTACAACATTTAAAAATATATAGGCCTATAATTCACGAGAAACGGGTACCGATGGCTAGTATAATGATATTAAAAAATGTATTAATACACCACAGAAATCACTGCTCCCGGTTTTCCCGAACAATGGAAGAAATCAAAACGTTTAGGAAATGGCAATTTTGGAGGTGTTCATCTTTTACAAGACACAAAAGACGAGCATAGTAAAAAATATGTGATGAAGGAAATCGGAATAAATTCTGATGACACTGACACTATTTTTCAGGTACAAAATTTTGGAAAATGTTGAAGCATATTTAATTGTTTTAGAAACTTTTCCATTAACACAACTCTATTTTATTGCACCATATTTGCTTTAACAGTTCCAGATAATAAAAAAAAACCATCTGAAATAAGCAAAGATTCTATGGAGAAATATTTACGTAGAATAAAAATTCGTTATACTTATCATCTCATGTTATATATAGAGCAGTGTCGTAGCAAGGTCGGGTGTCACCCGGTGCGGCACTTAATGGTGTCACCCCCCCCCCCCCCTCAGGGGCGTAGCAACCCTTCCCGGGGACAAACTTTCAATTTTCGATTTGCATCCCCCTAATACTTTTGATTTGCACCCCCCCCCCCCTCAAACTTTCGATTTACACCTCTTAAAACACTATTTAACACTCGAATTGATCACTTAATTAAGTGACATTATTATTTTTCTCTATTTATTTGCCTTGGTGTCACCCCCCTAAATGGTGTCACCCGGTGCGGTACGCACCCCCGCCCCCCCCCCCCCCCCCCCCCCTCGCTAAACCTCTGATATAGAGTGATTTAAGACCACAATAGATAACGAAGATTTTATACAGTGTGATTTACTAAACACATTTCTATTAAAATATTTTCAAATATAACCTAATTTATATTGTCTTAAATCTATTTTCTTTAAACATTGTTTTGTAGAAAAATTCAGAATTGGCAGTTTTGATGAAAACAAATCATAGTAAATTAGTACAGTTCTTTGGATTCAAATTAAAAAGTACAAAGATAATTCTGTTCTTCGAATACATGTGTTTGGTAAGTTGAATAATCTACTAAATTCTGTTAGTAGGGCCTAAATGACGAGTTCGTTTTCGAGTCAATAGTGTGATTTCATGTGATAGTGCATTTGCCAATATATTTTCTTTTCTCATATTTGTTAACTTCTAACATAATTTATGTATACATACATACATACATATGTGCATTTATATATATATATATATATATATATATATATATATATATATATATATATATATATATATATATATATGACAACTCTGAAAAACCTATATGTAAAGGACCATGGCCTATGTATTTTTCCGGCATCGTTCAGAAAAAAATATTCGAATTAACCATAACCATATTTAACAATTGTTTTAAATTTATATTTGGTTATCCAAATTGTTTAGTTTGCTTAACTTTAATGATTTAATTGATTTAAATTGTTATTGATGATTTAGATTTAAAAAAAATGATCAGTGGAAAGTTATTTTACACTTGTTTTTGTCTAGGGTTCATTGAGATCGTATGTAAAGAATAAAGGTAATCTACAGGAAACTAAAATCAAGATGTTTTCATACCAAATTCTTTTAGGGCTAAACTATTTACATAGATTTAACCCGCCAATAATACATAGGGATATAAAAGGTAATATTTATTTATTTTCAAATATTCAACAATTTTATATTTAATTTATTGTTTTAAAACCTTTATCAACAAAATAACATACTGATCAAATAGCAGCTTTATATATACATTTTCATACCCAGAACATAACAAGAAAATAATTGTGTACAATATTTTTTTACACTTATTTGTTTTTTAATTTTCAACGTGATTTTTAAATTTCGTTTTCCAAACGTACATTGCCATCTAGCAATTTCGGTGCAAAGCTAACTCAAATTTAAATGTAGAGGAAAGTCTTCTAAACAATTAATTGGTGCGCTACCATTTCCTTATTTTTTTAATTTACAGGAGACAATATTTTACTTGAAGATGAAGACAGTGTAAAGATTGCTGATTTTGGTCTTTCAAAGCTGGTCACTGAATCAAGTTATCCAAACTCAATTATGGGCACAGCAAAGTGGATGGCTCCAGAAATGTTGGACTCAGGCGAAGATACAACATATAATTGTAAAGCCGATTTATGGTAATACTGAGATTAAATAAATCTATTAATTACCAAAATAAGATTTTGGATTACCCCAAAATCAAAACTACGTTTCACCCTCCCAGATTACAAGAAGAATTAACCTTGAGTTAAAAAAAATGCTCCCAACTTAAAAACATATAAATTAATGTGTAAATGCAACATATTCAAAAACAAATTATTATTCGGCAGTATTAAAAGCACATCTAAATAATAAAAATATGTAGGCATGTGTGTCTAGCACTGTTGGATGACACAATGAGACAATTCTTTTCTAACTTGCTCTTTTTGTTATATGCAATTTCGTGATATACGAGTTGCATACAACATGTAAATGATGTAACAAGTGAAGTGAAAGTGATGAAGTTACTTTTTCTAGTGTATAGAGCCCGCATTATTTGATTTGATAGACTAGTTGAATTATAAATATGTTTTGGATTTATTAATTTAATATTATATCTTGGAATTTAGAACATAAATAATTTTGCCAATCAGACATACATAGAAGCATATTCTTATAATTTTTTATGTATGCATTATATTTTATTACTGATGGCTGAAAGCAATTCGACTTTCTTATTGTCTGTGTTAGTATTTGAACAAGACTTAAACTTTTAACACATTTGAATTAATACTGCGTAAATTTTTTTTAAAAAATCATCGAACCACTTTTTAATTGAAAAACAACGTGCATATTAACTAAGGCCTCCAAAATAACAGTACACTTTAATTTTAATGTAAAGTTAGTTTAAATTCTAGTATTTTAAGATTGCTAAACATGTATCCCTACCAGGAGTTTTGCTTGCACAGTTGTGGAAATGGCAACAACAGAACCTCCTTGGCCTAAACACAATCCTAAACAACACATGCTTCAACTTGCCAAATGCGCTAAACCTGTCTACGACCTCCCCGTTGATTCATCACAAGAGCTGAAAATGTTTTTGGAAAAAATGTTTCAGAATGATCCCAAACAAAGGCCATCAGCCGCAGAACTTTTTGATGACCCGTTTCTGGAGAATATTTATTAACATACAACAGATAAATTAACATAATTCAGTGATTTTTCACGCCTGTATTCAATGTATTTAACGGTTAATTAAAATGCAAATTACTTCAAGATTTTTAGATGTTATTAATTAAAATTGCTTCATTGTATGCTTGTTTTAATCATAATTATTTACAATTTTTCCTAATATGTATAAAAAGTAAAAATGAATTATGCCTATATATTGTGCATTTATATCCTGTGAGATGACAGGAATATTTGGCTGCAATACTAGTTCACATGGACGCTAAATGTTGGCAAGTATTAATTATATATCCCCACAACTGTTGAATAGATAATAACACGCATTGAAATATTTCTTAGCCTTGTAGCAAATGGAAGTTCGCTAACGTCAGCGTTTAATTAAAATATCATTTTAAATTATATACATAAGTATATATATATATAAATGTATTTAAATATATATATATATATATATATATATATATATATATATATATATATATATATATATATATATATATATATATATATATATATATATATATACATATATATATATACAAATTTACGTTTATGCACATCTATAAAAATAAATTTAATATCCGTCTTGAAGCTAACGTTGGAACGATATTTTGCTAATCAGCACCCAATAGGTAGGTTTCAAGATTTCAGAATGTATTGTATTATATATACGTTTTTGTTCTTGTTTTTACCCTTAATTGGTAGCAAATGTGAGAAACTCAATACCGCACCATTAACGGCCCAAAAGGGTAAATTACAAAATTAACGAAATTTTTTTTTGTTTTACTTTTTAAAAATAACTATAATTTTTATTTCATATTTTGTACAATTCAATTTTTAAAACAATCCAACTATTTCCTTGCATTACATGTTTGTAAATTATATTACATTATATTACGCTAAAAAGTATTCAAACAATGCATACACTAATTATTATAGTAATTATATGTAAGATATTTAAGGTTTGACTTGTTTCATCTTCAAATAACGAAAATGTTTAAAAGTAAATCAATAGTTTAAAGCGGCTGTTAGTAGATTTTTTTAAAGTTAAACCTTCGTTAATACTACGATATAGTTATGTGTACATGTCTATATGAGTAAACCTACGTTTCCGTGCAAGAAATTTTTTCCCTGATATTACATTAATGATCATAGGCTCTAAGGTATCTAATATTTAAACACAAATTCTGGATAGTCTTTTAATTAATTGAACAAGCCATCTAGTACATCAACGATTGATTAAGAAAATATCTAAAACACAAAAAAACATTTCTAGAGTACTGCTTTTGAAATATAATTTATGACTATTAAGTTTTGCAGAGGTTATTACTAATTTTTAATAACTAATTGTACCTTTAGACTCATTTTCCTGCTCTTTAGTTATATGTGTAACTGGAAACAGAATTAATATCGTTTAAATTTCAATTTAAGTTTTGAGAACTCCAATTATATTTTTGTCCAGAAAAAGCTTAGCTTTGGAGAGCAGAAGCTTTAATAACTTTTGCTTTCTTTACCATCCTGTATTTGTCAATTTATTTTATTACCTGACCGATAACAGTCTTGCACATTTGGTGTATGGTGATCGGCGGGAATGTGGGAATGTTTATATTTTCTATTCCAGAGTGTGCTTAAATAGTTTTAATTCTAAATTTATATTTCTGTTATCTCGATCTTCAAAAACATATTTAAGTATCGAAAAGATTCGATAACACCGGGGACATTTTTAAATACATAAACACAGCAAATGATGAATGAAGTGAAGATAACCGCTAACCCAAAAGACTCGTGTTCAAACCTCTAGGGATGTGAGACAAGCTAGCCCATCTAGGAGAGATAGGATAACTAGCACTTGTAAACATCTGTAACCAATAACGATAACAAATCTTTAGTTTAGCAATCCCTTGGGCTATACGGAAAAAAAGTTATGGAGCGGATTGGCAAAACGTGATCCCTTCAGCTAATGGCCAGGTACACGCCCCAGTTTATCCTTAGTCTCTCGAGGTAAAATTATAATCAGGCGGCTGTTGTAAGAGTTGGAGTTTAGTAAAAGGTAAATGCACATGTAAGTAGAAAACTGTGATTTAAATACTTGATTAACAAACTTTTAATATTTATTTTTATTTGAATATTGAACTTTTAGTATAACTTTTTCAATGTGAAATAAGCTTAGAAATAGTTATTAATTATTATTAAACGTCTGTATTATTTATATTTTTTGTTACAATATTTTACAAGGACAACCGTACATTTATAGCTAACGAAAATTGAATTATGTATTTTTTATTGTAGACATGGAGAATAAAATGTATAATCGCTATAAATGGCCACGATCTTTTTTTTCGTTAAAATTAACTTTTACGTTACATCTAACACCTATTAGATTAATGGAGGTAATACGTAATAACTCATAGTTTTAGTTTTGCAGAGTTATATCCCTTTCTTTCACCAGACGTACGACTGCCACCTTAGTAAACTACCATTGCCATTGACCTATAATGTGTTATAGCACAGATCTTAAGTTTCTCCATGTGTAATTATTGTGATCAGAGTTTGTTTTCCCTTTTTTCTGTGCCCACGAGAGAGCGGTAATCTTTGCCTCTTCTTCTACTCTTTTTCTCCATGATCTTTTTGGTCGGCCCATTTTGCCTTTTCCCGACTTTATATGATACTTTACCACCCCAAATAAATATCAAACCATAACGGAAGGACAACTATAGGAACCATACCGATTAGACCAATCATCGGTTCGGAAATCCCTCTCACACCACACAGTAATATTAGAAGAAAGTATTCAAATGTCAAAACAAATCACACATCTCACTGATATCAATGAAGTAGAGACGGCTGACCCGGATAAATTACAATCGATATTTACCGATTACTACACGCGACTGTACAATTACGAGGAGACAAACAAGGACAAACAAGACAAGTACCAAAAGTATAAAAAAACACAATGGTAAAAATCAGTGACACACTCTTTCAGATCGATTAAATAGCCAAAGCTATTCAAAAAATGAATGTTAACAAATCCCTTATGAGAGCTCTATAAACCACTAAGTGTTAAATTTGTACATGTGTTTAATGTTGTTTTACTTGTTTTGTAACGTATATTTAAAATTATCTTCATGGAGACCATAGAAAACACCACGCAGCTTAGCCACCACCCTCATCCCCACCTGTCAGATGAGCTGTGGTTCACCCCGAATATTTACAATAGTAGAGCCGGTTCGACTACGTGAGGGCTATTATGGGCAGATAATTTAGTTTTTAAACGATTTGAAACTAAGGGGAGATAATAAGTTTTGCTTGATATTTTCAATGTCGTGTGTAAACGGCTGCTTTCATTGGGCGGGGTGGGGTGGGGGGAGGCAGGGGGTGGGGTAGTGTCGAATTCACAAATTTTGAATTGTTGATAAGTAGAAAATAAAACAACTTGATAGCGGCGTATGCTACATCGAGGGTCAGCTCGACAAAAAAACAAAAACACTCCACATTGCAGCTAATCACAAATTAATCATTCATTCGAATTCTCATACGTTTTTTTTTTTGAAAACCTATGTGGAGCTAGGCGGTATGCTTAGTATATTATAAAATGTACAATACAATTGAGAAGTAGTGCCAAAGTACACATACATGTGTATAAAGGTTATTTTAGGCGCATACACAGACCTTACTCTACACAACACAGGCCGTAAAGTGCCGTGACGGGTAAATTGCAGCACATACCTAACAACTGCTGGTCGCTGCTTAGCTTAAAGAATTTCCAAAATGTTTATAGCCCTTGTTTCTTCGGCGTGTTCTTAATGAAATTAACGAATAAATGAACGAATCCACAAATCAAAATGTTTGTGACCTTTTTTTGTGAGGTATATTCAACCCTTCGTGTAATATACGTGGAATCAAACACACAGTTTTATACAAGTGTAAATGTTTGCATTACTGTAGGAGTGGGTGGGTTCGATACATGGCGGTGGGATGTGGTAAAAGAAAATAGAGAAGTTACAGTAGTGTTAAGCAGCATTTATTTTGTAATTTTAAAATGAATTTTTTAAAAGTGATTTTCAGAAGAACAATGTTAAAACAAAAGTATTTTAAAATCTGAAAATGTAATCTGTCAGTATTGCTACCCACATATGCCTCTATTATCATGTACGTTTTTACTGAACCTGCATTAGCTATCTTTGAGTTATTCCGATGTTAAAACGGTAAATAAAATTCAAGATGCCATCACTATTTCAACGGCAGGAAATTTACGGCTATTTTTGTTTTAATATATAGACTTAACTCTTTGAGTTGTAACTATATGATAAATATGATTAAGTGTATAAATAAACATTTTGACTAATTTGGTATTCATCACCCGCGCCTGCTGATAAGAGAGCCTATAGTTTGTTTTATGTGAAGACTTGCAAGGACTTCAGGTTATTATGTCGTTTTAAATTGTGAAAATCTTCAAGCGCGGCATCCTTAATTTGGCAGTTCAGAGGCGTAACGACCCTTCGCGGCGTCCGGGAACAAACTTTCGATTTGCACCCCCATGAAACTTTCAATTTGCACCCGCCTCAAACTTTCAATTTGCACCCCCCTCAAACTTTCGATTACTTTTTTAACCCATTTGGCGCCCCCTCAGGTCGGTGCCCGGGGACATATGTCCCCCTGCTCCCCCATCGCTACGCCTCTGAGGCAGTTTTAATTTCAACATTATTGATAATTGATTGCATTCACCATCTTATTAAATTTGTATACACTTCGAAACTTCCCTTCTTTCTAAACGTTTGCTTATCATATCCTGGAATGTGGCAACAAGGTGTTTACAGTAACGTCTCGTAACCCTAACGTTTTGTTAGGCAGGTAAAATAGAAGGACTTGAACTTGTGCTGTCTCGCTTACGACTTTAGGTCGGCCTATTGATTGATTTGGGTTTTTTAGGAAAAGGCGCCTGCTAATATTATCTATAAAGCTTGTCCTAGTTTTTAGCTATTTACGATTCAAGATTACTTTAATGTATGCTTTTATATAATTAAGCAAGCGAGATTTGTAATGACAAATATTAATCGGTGTAGTTTCTTCTATTTTAATGTAAATAGGGGTATTATATTACTTGCATAGGTAATTTTTAAAAATTACTTATATGAAAGACCTTAAGAAAATGGCTTTTTCATACAAAACTAACACAAGCAATCAGTATCTGAATACTTATCGCAATCAAACTCTTAAAGGGTTGTATTGATCCTATATTTAAAGTATGTAGAATAACAGGTTAGCAAGATTTGTTTTTGTTTATAAAAATACACAATCCGCAAAGGCTAAATGCTTTTACTCCTGTAAATGTATAGAGACGTCGAGAACTTATAGGCTTAGTGATATGTAATGCAATAATACAGTGTCTACAGTACTAGCTTATCGATAATATGTTTCAAGTCCAACTAGACGCAGCCTGTACATTCTTGCACAGCATGCATGCGCGAAACTTTTCAATGTAACTGTCCTTTTGAATTATCATTTCTTTTGAAGTAAATAAGGTATTGCCATGTTAAAGGTTAGTTGTGCTACTCATTTTCAATTTCTATGAGACTTTTCAAATGGTATAAATATATACGAAACCAACTTGAATACCATTTAGGAAACGGTTTTCTATTTACATCAATACAATTACAAATTGAATTTTAACAACTATTAAATTGACAGAAGTTGTAAAAAGATTAATTGTTTGAAGTTACTGTTTCCAGAATAAACGAACCTAGTCTTAAAATCCTGCCTGGCGTTGATAATATGTGGGACTATAACTTACATATTTAGTTTTATAATTCTATAGGTTCTAAAATATATCATTTTATTGATTTTCTTCTTTTCCCTTTGGAAAAAAAAGAATGCTGTTCTTTACCTATTTTGAAGAGATAATGTAGTCAGCCTTTCAACCAGTCGTGTTTAACTATATCTTATAAGAGCCTGGTACCCATTAGAGCTGAGTGTACTCATCGACGTATTAAGTACCCAAGCCCGGGATCCAAACTCGAGACTATTGGGTTTTCAGTTCAACTATCTGCTTTATCTGGAGCAAAACCTAAGTAAATCAATCGTGTTTGATAACATTCATCCATCACGCTATTGTGACTGAAGTCGAAAACTGTTTAGATACATTCTCCAGACAGAAATATTAAATATACTTTGTTTTTAAATATAAATGTTGTATATTTTCTATCATGATCCGTATGATAAAAGCTAGAAATAGTCTCTCTCCTAACAGCGAATTACTATTGACAAAAGAAAAGAAATGTATTATTACTGATGTTTAGAATGCCCTATAATTTGGTAATATATATCTTATTAATATAAACTGTGTTTAAATAAAGTTTAAAACTGCAAGCAACGAAATATAAAAAAAAATATTTAAATTACAAAAAAATTAAATATGTATTTATAGTAGACTACTTGCGAGTAAAAAATTCAAAGTTCATCTTTTGAAAAGTATACTGATTTAAGTATTTTTATTATAGTCAAGATTTTTATCATAGTGTTTTCTTTAAACACTACACTCTACGATATGTAATAACGGGAATTCCTAAAATGAATCTTTTTTTTGGGGGGAAAAATTTCTTTGTGTTAGGTTATAGGCCTACATAGGTTTGTATATCAATACTCATTTTACAAACGGTACGAAATTATATTTCTTAAATAAAAACATTATACATGTTATTAAACAATTAGTAAATATATTTAAAAAACAAAATATGACATGAGCCTAATATCAGGTAATATAAGTTTATCGACATAATTTGGGATTAACTTCCCGTTTTAAATGTAAAACATGACCTTTATATTACTTACTATAATATAGTTTGCTTTAAATTACGTTTTATTCAAACAATGTAAATGACTGTAAATTACTGCATATTTTGATTTGCTTTAAAATATCCAAGTTATCTGCCAAATACCACTTGAGCTACGAACATTCTCAAATATATACTTTATTCCGTCTATATACTACTAAAACTCAAGTTTATTTAAAGGTTTGTATATATATATATATATTTTTGGTGTATTTTTGGTTGTCTAGTTAGTTACCTAAGAGCATCTACACTATGTGTAGAACTGTAAACAAGTATTTATATAGAGAATAATTTAAATTTTTTACCAAACTTTTAATCACAAATTCATTTAAAGAAGTTTAAAAATGTATTGATATATACATTGTTAGAAACACCACTTTAATTATAAAAGTTCAGAATAATTACTTTATTTATAATAAATTCATGTGATTTATTTACTTTTTACAACAAACATGGCGGCTTCTATGGAATATCATGTTGCCCATTCAAAAGTTGAAAGCATTATAAAGCCTTTTTTTTTTGGCTATAGCTTTAACGATACGTCCGTTTGCCATATTTATTAGTTTCCAACACTATTATACATTTTCAACAGTTATGCAATTTTGAATATAAAGAAATTTCTCTAGATCTACAGATAAGCTGTCGGAGGAAAGGAAAGTCAAAGTTATTAAAGTAGAACAGAGATCTAAAATCTAGGTCAAACCAAAATTAATTAGTTAAAAATAAAAACTATAATAAAAACACAAAAAAGTATTGAGTTTCTTTATTAAACTATGTTAGTCCATAAATAATTGATATAGATATTTGCCTTTCATTTTCGATGATCATCTAATTCGATAATAAGGGATTCATCTATCTAAACTCTAGATCTAGTTTTTAGATCTACGGAAATTCTAGACTTAAGCCAGTCGTTGATTCTATATCAAGATCTACCTCTTTCTAGATCTAGAATCTATGCCAATAATGAGTTTCTATACTAAACTATTTCAGACCTTAATTATTTTATATAAATCATTTTTTTGTTTAGCTATAAAATTGTAAAATTGGCAAATTTGGGATACAATTAAATTTGAAATAACAAGGCCTATTCACCTAACTCAAGTTTCTTACGCAGACTCTAAGTAAACTATACCATTAATTTTGCACTCAATCGGAAGTGCCTAGATAACTGATATGATAGTGTAATAGTTATCATGCGGGTGGTACGGGTTCAAGGCAGTGGCGTAGCGAGGTCGGGTGTCACCCGGTGCGGCACATAATGATTTGCACCCCCATCAAGTTTTCGATTTGCATCCCCCCTATCAAGTTTTCGATTTCCACCCTCCCCCTCAAACTTTTTTTATTTGCACCCCCCTCAAGTTTTCGATTTGCACCCCCCCCCCCTCAAGTTTTCGATTTGCACCCCCCCCCCCTCAAGTTTTTCTCTATATATTTTGCTATTTTTTGCCTTGGTGTCACCCCCCCTAAATGGTGTCACCCTGTGCGGTCCGCACCCCGCCCCCCCCCCCCTCGCTACGCCCCTGGTTCAAGGCACATCATGTCAATCTTCATTTTGTTTCAATGTTTGTATATGTGAATGAAAATTTTGCCTATCGTGAATTGGCGGGACACGGAGCAGGTGAAGTAGAGTTCACCTGTTTCAGTCTTCTCAACATATGAAAGGATAATGTGGTCAGACCCATTCTCAGCCTAAGGTGTGATGTCTTTTTGAATATAGTTCTGACTTTTTGTAAAGATGTGTGACAGGGGGAAGGGAAGGGGAAAGATAAAAATCGTCAAACAAACATGACGTTATTTATGGATAACCCTCGAAACACACGGTTATTCAAGAAAATCGGATAGTCTAGTTCTTACTAAATTGCGTACAATGCGAACATTATATTTTGTAAATCACAACTAAAGCTGTAGCTTCAGCTTTAGCTTCGTCTTCAGCTTTCTTTCTCTTTCGGTTTCTTTCTCACACCTATTAGTTCGGGTACTTGCAGGTAAGTTGTAGGGAAATTGTTCTTGACATAGTTTGCCGTTTGCTCTCTGTTTAACGGGAAAATTAAAGTATATTCAATATTCGAGTTTAAAGTGATCGAAAATTGACCTTAATCTTATCTATTTGGTTCCGTAGGCATCTGAAAATACCAGATACTCAGAAAAGTCTTATTGGACGAGAATAATTGAACGCTTTTTCTCCTGAGATTTAATTATTAAAGGGACGCGTCGGCGTCTGAATTTAAACTTTAAATTTTCCCCGTGCCTTGCCGACTTTGCCAAATTATACGAAGAAAAACTTTCTTTAAATTATACTAAACAGTTTACAAATAGTTGTGAAAATAAAAAATAAAAATTAAAAAGATTTACCGCTCTATTATACCCATAAAAGGGGATTTACTTTTGTCAGGTATTTCAACTTTTAATTCCCTTAGTACTTTGATTACATGCAAAAAATAAACGATAATAACATGAAAAAAGAAAAAAAAACACATATTTTAAAATCGATTCTACTAAATTTCCTAATACGGTGCTAAAAAAACAACTTCTGTGATATCTGATATTTGGATAGACTACTTGCTAAACCTGCTACTTAAAAAAAAAATAGGTTGCTCGTTTTGCCTGCAGTTTAACTTGTTAATTTATTTAGTATACTAGTTTTGTTCAGAAAAGTACACATTAAAGCAGTCACCCTTTATATCATGTAAATGTTCTGACATCAGCTAAAATAGTATCACCACTATTATGGTCAAACTAACATTTGTTTTTACATTTAAAGTAACTTTAATTAATCAAAATTTCATACATAATTCATAAAATTCTTATACTAATTTTTTTGTTTCACATACGTTTGTATAGGTTGGAAATGAATCAAAATCAATAACTCAAAAGATGTTTTATTAAATAGCAATGGAAATAATTCAGTTCGAGACAACACCAATGGTATCGATAAAATAAAGTGTAATGAGTTTGTTTCCGCTTGTAAACAAGGCGACCTGTCAACAATAAAAAGTATTTTATTTGAAAATAACGCGAGTGTCTATTATATTGATACTAATAGGTCTTATGCTTTGCTACTGGCTGCAGCGAATGGTCACACATAAGTTGTTGGATTTCTTTTAGATAAGAGAGTCAAAATAAGATGTACCAAGTACATTACAAAGAAAAACTTTAAAGGAAGCCTGCTTCTTGGGACATACGCATACTGTTCGTTTTTTATTAACAAAAGAGTTTGATTTTTAAAAAAAAATGAATAACAATGGAAAGAGTGCGTTCGTGTTTGCTTGTGGTAACGGATACTTAGAGACGGTGAAATTACTTCTAGAACAAAACGCAAGTCTCATTGATTTAGATAGTAGTGGATGCAATGCTTTGATTTGGGCTGCATGGAGTGGTCACACTGAAATTGTGAAATTTCTTATTGAAAAAGGTGCCAGTATAGATTCTATCAATTCGTTTAAAAGAAACGCATTAATGGAAGCTTGCTTTATGGGGCACACGGAGACTGTTCGACTTCTACTAACTAAAAACTTTAACGTAGAACAGAAGGATAACAATGGAAATACTGCATTATTGCTTGCTTGTGAAGATGGACACCTCAAAGTTGTTGAATTACTTTTACAACACAATGCAAGTCTCACTGCTGTAGATAAACATGGATATAACTCTTTACTTAAGGCTGCAATAAAGGGTCAAACAGAAGTTATTAAATTTATCATTGACAAATATGTAGACATTTACGAGGTTAATAACTTTCAAAGAAATGCGTTAATGGAAGCTAGTTTTTTTGGACACACACAAACTGTTCAATTCTTACTAACAAAAAATTTTCCGATCGAAAGAAAGGATAATAATGGGAACAATGCGTTATTGCTTGCTTGTGAAGCTGGACACCTTAGCTGTGTTGATTTACTTTTGCAACGAGATGCAAATCTTAATAGTACAGATAGTCATGGAAATAACGCTCTACTTAAAGCTTCATTGAAATGTCATTCCGAAGTTGTGGAGTTAATTTTAACAAAAAATGCAGATATTAATTGTGTCAATATATATTTTAAAAGTGCTTTAATGACTGCCTGCCTTAAAGGAAACACGCAAATGGTTCGATATCTATTAAATAAAGAAGTTAATATCGAACAAAAGGATAAATATGGAAACAGTGCGTTATTGCTTGCCTGTAGTAATGGACACCTGAGTATAGTTCAATTACTTTTGCAACATAATGCAAGTCTCGAAGCTATAAACAATAATGGATCTAACTCTTTACTAAAAGCTGCACGTGGTGGCCACACGAACACTATTAATTTCTTAATCCAGAAACGGACCAATATAAACTACGTTAACAAATTTCAGAGGAATGCTTTAATGGAAGCTTGTATGATGGGACACACAGAAACTGTTCAAGTTTTATTGACTGAAAATTGTAATATTGAACAAAAGGATAGTGATGGAAAAAGTGCGTTATTGCTTGCTTGCAAATCCGGACACTTTAGCATTGTTGATTTACTTTTGCTACATAACGCAAGTATCGCTGATGTTGATAATATCGGATATAACGCTTTGATTTGGGCTGCGTTTGGTGGTCACACAGAAGTTTTTAAATTTTTAATTGAAAAAGGCGCTGATCTTAATTGTATCAATAAATTTCAAAGAAATGCATTCACAGAGGCTTGCTTTAAAGGGCATATCGAAATTGTTGGATTGCTATTAACGAGCGATTTAGTTACCAAACAATTGTGTAATATTACAAATAAAGCTTTGATGCTTGCTTCTAAAGCTGGAAAAGTTGGAATTGTAGAATTGCTTGTGCAACATAATTCAAGCTTAACTGGTGTTGATAATAATGGAGATGGCGCTTTAATTTGGGCTGCACGCGGCGGTCACACAAACGTTGTTAAATTTCTTATTGAGAATGGCATAGATATCGATTGCACCAATAATTTTCAAAGAACTGCATTTACAGAAGCTTGTTTTAATGGGCATACACAGACAGTTCAATTTTTAATAAGTAAATTTTTTAATACGATAAACACAAATAATATTGGCAATAACGCTCTATTGCTTGTTTGCGCAAAAGGACATCTAAAGACTGTGCAATTGTTAGTGCATTATAAAGCAAGTCTCACTTATGTAGACAACAATGGATGCAACGCTTTAATCTGGGCTGCGCATGGTGGCCACACAGATATTGTCAAATTTCTTATCGAGAAAGGCGCTGATGTTAATTGTTTTAGTCGATATCAAAGAAATGCTTTGATGGAAGCTTCTTTTATGGGACATACAGAAACTGTTGAGTGTTTACTAAGAAAAGATTTTAATATGAAACAAACGTATAATACTGTCAGTATTGCTTTGATGCTTGCTTGTGAAAAGGGGCATCTGAAGACTGTTGAAATGCTTGTGGGTAATGAAGCAAGTCTCGATGATGTAGACAATGATGGATGTAACGCATTAATTTGGGCTGCATGGGGCGGTCATACAGAAGTTGTTAAATTTCTTATTGAGAAAGGCGCCGACATTAATCGTGTCAATAAATATCACAGAAATGCATTAATGGAAGCATGTTTTATGGGCAATATAGACACAGTACGTTTTCTACTCACAAAAGATTTTTGCATAACACAATGCGATAATTCAGGCAATACTTCGTTATTGCTTGCTATTCAAGCTGGTCATCTCAGTGTTATCGAATTACTTTTGCAACATAACGCAAGTCTCACTGAAATTAATAAATGTGGAAATAATGTTGTACTCAATGCAGCAAGTAGCGGCCACACAGAAATTGTTAAATTTTTTATTGAGAAAGGCGCTGATATGAATTGTGTGAACAATCTTCAGAGAAATGCGTTACTTGAGGCTTGTTTTAAGGGACATACAGACATTGTTAGACTCTTACTTAAAGAAGATTTTAATAATGGTAAAAGTGCCTTCAAGCTCAGTTGTGGTAGCGAATCAAATTCTGTCTTGATATTTAAAGCACTTACCAAGCGTTTTAAAAATTTAGATATTGGTTTCCAGTTACTTTACAATGAATTGCTCTCATGCGGTACGTTGTTTTTCTTTTTCTAAGAATTTTACAATTACATTTTTCAATCTTCTAAAAACGTAAAGAAAAAATGTTCAATAATATATCGCGGTATTACATACTTAAAAAGGTATTTCATCTATGTCAAATTAACGATTAGCTGAACTATTCCAAAACATTTAATGATAATAACATCGTATATATTTTGAAATATACAATCGAAGTAAAAAAAAATATAAATAACGATTTTAAATCAAATATATGTTTAACATTGTTTATTGATAAAAATGTTAGTAATTATATCTTAATAAGCAGTTTAAATATTATACATGCTTTGTATAAGAGATATTGCTCTATTTTTAAATATTCATATACAAAATGTTATATTACACTATTCTCTAGGTAAATGGCCAACGGCATGGCAGTCTTCAGATTCTAAAACTTCTACATTCAACGAGATAATAAAGTAAATAATATTTGCATGGCTAAATATTTGTGTATGCATATTGAAGATAAAGACATCCCTAATATGCATATATGCATACATATATATATATATATATATATATATATATATATATATATATATATATATATATATATATATATATATATATATATAATATATATATATATATATATATATATATATATATATATATATATATATATATATATATATATATATATATATATATATATATATATATATATATATATATATATATATATATAATATATATATATAATATATATTATATATATATATATATATATATATATATATATATATATATATATATATATATATATATATATATATATATATATATATATATATATATATATATATATATATATATATATATATATATATATATATATATATATATATATATAAAGGTTTGATAAACCAGAGAAAAAAAATGTGCAACGTGTTAAGAATTTTTAAAAGCTTACTAATATTGAAAGACTAAGATATAAAACATGTGTAAAATTAAATGTCATTAAAATCTTTGTTTCTCAGCAATGGATTTTATTATACATTTATAAATTGGAATAAATTATGCGGTCGTCTTGGTCGGGTTGGTTAAGCTCATTGTTGAGCCGATAATAGAACGTAATTGTAGAATTAGAATCCAGACAGTCTACTTATTTTAGAAAAATATTAACTCATTGTTAGGATGTATGTTTGATTATGCGAATTAATGCAAAATGAATATTGGTGCGTGAGTATATTGAAAGAGCCAAAGTATGACGCGGTATGCAAGAATGTGACGGTTCAGTGTAGGATCGTTGTTGTCGGGGGGGGGGGGGGGGATACGTTTTTAGTAGTCTTGTTCTTGATGTCTTATGGTGAGGTCGTAATGTAATTCAGTTTTAGTACCGTTCGTTCAAGTTCTCCTTAGTATTTTTAATTGTGCTATAAATAGTAAAATTAAATAACGTCATCATGTCGAATCATCTGTATACTTTGATGTCGTCGTGCTTTAGGATGAACTATTGAATGGCTAGACAGAATATAATGGTAGTGCATACCCTCTAGCTGCGGGACACATAGACCCCAGCTATAACACTTATTAAAAAACTAATTAGTCATTACATTTAATATCATAGTGCATTGCCATCGGGTCTTGACCCGCGTTCCGAATTTCATAGAAATCGAATGGCTAGTAGTGTCCGAAATTTCGCTCGCCCGTTTTCATCTAGACAAGAAAAAACAAGATGTAGACAGAAACAGAAAGCAAGTAAAACAAAAGCTTATAAGAATAAAAATCGTTTTTATATAAAACATAAAAATGTTATGTAATAATACACTAAAAAAGAGAAAATACATGTTTTCTTTAAACATATTATAATACACTATTATTAATAATATATAAAGAAAAGCGTGGGTCACCATTATCTATTGGATACCTTTGAATACATTTAGAAAGACATCCACGCTTTTCTTTATTATTGTTTTAATAGTAGTGTATTATAATATACTTAATTATAATCTACTTTTCTCATTTTCAATAACTTGTTACATAAAAACTTGTTATTAAAACGATTCTCATGCATTTTATTTTTCATTAGTTAACATTTTCAATACAAGAGATTTGCTTGACTAAAATGTATTGCGCTCCAAATGAACAAGGTAACCTGCGTATATTAATGCGGATTAGAAATAGTGAGAACCCCTACTAATTTGAGAAATATTGAACTAATTCATAAAAAATCAATTAGGCATTTAATTCAGTCACATTTTATGTAATATTACATTGTCTTTGAGTCTTGAACCATGTGCCTAATTGCAGATAAATTGGTCGGTTAAAAGTACCAGAAATTTCGCTCGCTCGTTCGATTTAGACAGGCAATAGAAAGACAGGTGGAAGACAGTGTTAAGCTTGTAAAAACGTATTTATTTTTACTGTTTGGTCACTATCACAAATTGTATTGTTTATTTCTCTTAGGAAATTAAAGGAACACCAAACACATTTAGTAAGTATTCAATATCTTTATTTATTTTTAAAGAAATAATAAAACAAATGAAATAAGTTTAGAAAAACGAACATTTAGCTAAAGCGTTGACAAGTTATACAGTTATATAAATAAACCCCTTCATATGCAGAAATAATGTATGAATGTATACAGCCACAATGTCTTCATAATTAAATATGAATGTGTATTTTGCTTTCATTTTGTTAAGGAAGTGGAAATGTCGGTAGATCAGTTGCGGCAACAAATTAGAGATGTTATGTCAACGATCAGAAATGCAAACGAATTTAACTACGTAGAATGTTACGTGCAGCAAAAATTCTTTGAGGTGGTGTGTAGTGTGATGAGAAAAAAATCAGTAAAAGAATGTTCTGAAATTGGAAAACATCTTGCCGATTTAAAACTCGCAGGTATATATTTTATATATATCTTTTTTAGCCGTACCGTCCAGGCCCTGCACTGGCATTTGAGTTAATAAAAATCATATTCCCAGTGCTGTCAGGTATTTAGAGTTTTCTAGACATAAAATTAAATTTCAGTACTAAAATTAACACTTTAAAAATACTACACAATGGCGATGAAGTTAAAGGTTTATACTATATGCAATGTTCAAAAAACATAAGAGAGTTTTATATATTACATGAAATGAAAGAAGTGGAGGTCGGGGTTGGTGGTTAGAAATTAGTGGGCCATCGAAATGTACAAAAGTACAAAAGTAAGTTTAATCTTAATGATGGGGAAACTATTTTACCTGATGTCGTAACATGTAAAAAAAAAGTGTGACGAACAAAAACCATACTAATACAACTGCAGTTTCAAAGGATGCTATAAAATCAACTTTTTTCCAAAAGCAGACATATCAGGTTTTACAAGTTGCCACCTTAAATTATAATTATAATTTAAAAAAAAAATTATAGTGTATAATTATTTTTAAAAAAATGATATAGAATGAAAGTTACATGTTTTTTCTTCCATCCACTTGATATTATCGTTTAATTTTATGTGCACTCAAAGAATAAGTGAATTAAAAGTTTAAATTACTGACGCAGTTATATTTCTTTATTTAATTGAACAATTAAAAATAATTTATTTTTATAATTTTTACACCTATTTGAAAACCGTTTAGTATACTTTTTAAAAGGAGTTTTTTCTTTAAACCAAAAGTTTTCTTCGTTTATTTTTGCGTGTAGTCAGAAAATTAAAAATTTGAAATTATTGACTCAATTATTAAACCCTTTATATGTTATTTCTGAGATTCTTGAATTTTTCATGGTGCCTATCAGATTTTCTTCCAGGAATCCCTGCCGCTCCCACGAACGAAATGGAATATATATATTGAACATATATACTTTTAACAGTGTCCCCCCCCCCCCCCTGAAAATATCCCCCCCCCCCAGAGAAAAAAGTCTGGAAGAAACACTGGTGTCTACGGCATTAGAGTAGTCTCCTTACCAAATATCAACATTTTGTCGCATATGCCACTGGTCGATCTAATTCTAGCACTTTTTAAAATTTATGTTTATATGAGGCCGCAGTCATTCTATGTCAGTTTTCGGTCACTTTAAATTCGATTACAAAAATTACTTTAATTTTCCTCTTAAAAAGTGTAAACAGCAAAGTATGTCAAGAACAATTTCTCTGCAACATATGTGACCTACTTAGGTCCTTTTTAATAGTTAAAATGTACTAATTCTCAAATGGCCTTGAATTATCTTTTATTAAACTAAGAAATTTTCCACCAGACCCCTGTGACGGTGATCACAACTGTACTCGTTGTACGCGTGTTTTGTCCTCCCCCCCTAGGTAGTCCTTGACCTTCGTGTCTATATCCCATAATCCTGTGGAGATAGAATTATAAAAAAGGCGCGAGACACCCACAGAGAGAGAGCCCATGGCATCATGTTGTGATATTTAAACTAGGCAGTAATTAACTTAAATTTCAATAGTATTCTGTATCTTGTTTTCCTAGTGTAAGTTGTGTTAATTAGGAATTATATCAAGTTTTAGTTGTAGTCAGAGGTTTAGGGCTATGTGTATTTCATGAAATTGTAAGTTGGGCTTTCAACATTATTATATATTTTCTTCATTATTAGCTAAACTTGTTACATTTTAAAAGGTTTCGGCTCTGATTAAAAGCTCAAATAGATTCAGAAATTCGTTGTACTTATAATAACACACTAGATGTTAGATAGCGAGTTTATAAAGAGCTTTGTTTTTAGTAGTCTTTTATGGTTTTCACAAATATATATATATATATATATATATATATATATATATATATATATATATATATATATATATATATATATATATATATATTTATTTATTTATTTATTTATTTATTTATTTATTTATATAAGGTATTAATGATTCTAAATATTTATTTTTAAATATACACTTTAAAAATTATTTTATTATTTTTATAAGCAATATTTAAAATATCTATGTGTAGAATAAAAAAATCTAATTTATAAACAGAATTGTATTTTTATTATCTCATTAAAAAAATCTACAGAATTGACAGTTCAGCCCTTTAGATTACACAAACTACTAAACATTTCAGCCCCAGAGTTTATTAACATGATTCTTCAAAATTTAAAATCATTTTGTAAATTTAGCAGACGATTCTCAAAGGTAAATTACATAATTTTTTGTTTAATTATCTTATTAATCTTTTTTTATCGAGCATTAGTATTTCACTGTAGGAATGTTATTAAATACATTCTTTAATATTTCAAAATCCCCTTTAATTTCAGTCTTTGGCACAGCAGGGAATAATAGAAATTCTACTAGAGAGATTACATAATTTAGAAACGATTAAACATAAAGTAAGAGGCTTCTATTACAAATGAAACATACTCGTTCATGCTTTCTAAGTGTCTGGGTCTTGGTCTTGGTCTGGGTCTAGGTATATTTTAGCTAGAACACACAGACACAACGATATGGGTATTCAAATTCATTAAAAACTTTACATAAAAAAGCAAAAATAGGATACAAAAACATACTTAATAAAACAAAGATCTAGGTCTAGGTCTAGGTCTAGGTCTAGGTCTAGGTCTAGGTCTAGGTCTAGGTCTAGGTCTAGGTCTAGGTCTAGGTCTAGGTCTAGGTCTAGGTCTAGGTCTAGGTCTAGGTCTAGGTCTAGGTCTAGGTCTAGGTCTAGGTCTAGGTCTAGGTCTAGGTCTAGGTCTAGGTCTAGGTCTAGGTCTAGGTCTAGGTCTAGGTCTAGGTCTAGGTCTAGGTCTAGGTCTAGGTCTAGGTCTAGGTCTAGGTCTAGGTCTAGGTCTAGGTCTAGGTCTAGGTCTAGGTCTAGGTCTAGGTCTAGGTCTAGGTCTAGGTCTAGGTCTAGGTCTAGGTCTAGGTCTAGGTCTAGGTCTAGGTCTAGGTCTAGGTCTAGGTCTAGGTCTAGGTCTAGGTCTAGGTCTAGGTCTAGGCCAAGTTTAGGTCTAGGTCTAGGTCTAGCTAGGTCCATTCGGGCATTCGTCCCATTCGGGCAAGTGTCCATTCGGGAAATCGGCCTTCGGGCAAACGGCATTCGGGCAAGTGTCTTTCGGGACTTTGTCGTAGACCCCTATTTCTTATTTAGGATAAGATGCTTAACGAATTATATTTGACATTTACCTGTGTGAAGTTTCTTACAATTACTGAACATATATTTCTACTTTTTACATCAATAAACAATATCTTTTCAGCAATGGGTCTTGTTTGTAAACCTATCTGCTGGCATTATATTTCATTTATTAGAAAATGAAAACACTATAGAGAAATCTAGCGCTGAAAAAATTTATACGGTAAGTTTTTTTCAACCTTGCAACATCTTTTTAAGCCTTTTATTTTACACTAGCCATCGGTACCCGTTTCACGTGAATTATAGGCCTATATATTTTAAAATGTTGTACTTGTTTGAGAAAATTAATATATGAAATAGTTATTGGTCAAAACGAAATGTGCTTTACTACACTCTGAACGATATTAGTGACAAAGCAAAGAAATAACTAATTAGCTAAAAATCCGACACATTTAACATAACACACACACACACTGATTAAGTGACTTAAATGATTTCGTTAACAATCTGGCTATTAAATGGTCATTGTGTTGTTTTTTAACTAATTTGTATTAGTTTGACCGATAAAATTGTAAATATTTCATAGCGTACGTCTTATTGAATAGATCTAAAGATCTAGATCTCAATCAAATTTGAATGAAGTAGTTACTTTCTTTATAGTCTAAAACCGGAAGTTTCATATATAAAGGAGAGACAACTCCAAAATTAAACAACTGCTGCCTTGTAGTTTGTTCTTGGTTGGACAAAGGCTGTGGAAGCAAATTTAAAAAGAAAAGCAGGCTGAAATCGGAGTCAATGGCCTTAATGGCCCATAACCAGTTGACACGTAACGCTTAATTGTGTTGGAGGCGTGGTCGAGTCGGCAAAAAGCTCATGGTTGATAAATTCGAACAAAGTCTCGAGTTCAAACCCACTGGCAGATAAATCACAATCCCCTTCAACACTAATAATTAAGAACGAAGAAGAAGAAGAAGACTTATAAAAAATAATTAAAAAATAAGTTTGACTAGGTGTCTCTCGATCCCGCACCACCTACGTGGTATTAAGTACATTATCATCTCTGCTATTTAAGTACCCTATAAAAATGGAGAATGAAAGACATATTTTTAATCCCAAATTAGCCAGTTCAATAGCTAAACAAACAAAGATTTCTATACAATAATTAAAGCCTGAAATAGTTTAATATAGAAATTTATTTTTGGAATAGATTCTAGAATAGATAGTGTATAAATCTAGGTCTTAGCGTCTACGTCTAGTTTTTGCGTAGATTTAGATCTAGTCTAGATCTAGAATCTCTAGATCTAGAATCAAAATAGATAAAATACATTTTATAACTTTTGGCCGGAAAAATTGTATTGTATACATTTTATAGCGTACTAAGATCAAAATTAAATTTGAATGAAATAGTTCTTTTCTTTTTATTCTAAACTCGGCAGATGACGTCATTAGTTAATGTATAAACATTAGTGACGTCATTGTTTAATGGGTTCTTTTGCACAACTATAACACTTTTCCTGTTGCATAAGTAAAACTGTTTTTCTGCATTCGAATATTTTTTTTTTTATATTTCTTCTTTAATTAAAATGTTGGTTATACATTTCAAACATCTACCATATTATTTTCAACATAAGTCCGTATCATGTTCTCCATATATCACTGGAGATTCTGATGTGATACCCTGCGAAAATATTTTGCGGACAGAGATAGAGAAGTGGACATATGGGCTTTTATGTATTAGGATTGATTTAAAAAATGTTTTAGGAAGTTTAACGAGTATGTTGAGTATGCAAGTTTAGAAATCCTGTTTAGTTCTCAATGGGCTGAATTTCTGGGGACAGCAACCTTTATAGAATAGAAAACAAACTAAAGCCCGTGGTTTATCAGATCTAGTTTTCTTTCGGCAGATCCAGCCAAAATGCTAATGCGAACATATACATTAGTACATTAGCTGTGTTGAATATCTAATCGTATCTATAGTGTATGGCTTAAAAAAAACCAACGCAAATCCAATAGTGCTTACAAGAAGAAACGGGCAATCCAGTGCCAGTGTTAACGCTGAATAAATTATCCGCTATGCCGGACGCCCAAATTAACGGATACCTAGTGGTAATATAGCCGCTCTTAAACTCTGGTTGCCAAACCACGTATTGACAAAAATCGCACCATCCCGGGCGCCGTCCATAAGAAATTTTAATTATTTTGTTCAAATAAACCTTCTCGAGAGTAATCTCATCAACTCCACAAAGTTTCATGGCACTCTGATGAACGGCGTCGATCCGCTTCACACTTTTATTTTTTATATACCGCACAAACGTCACTAGTTGTATTTTCAACGAAATTCTCAAAGTTTAATGATGATCGGATGAAAGGTGAAGTAATGCATGAAAGTCAGATCGACACACACACAAGTACATTGCTTTATATATATATATATATATATATATATATATATATATATATATATATATATATATATATATATATATGTATATATATATATATATATATATATATATATATATATATATATATATATAGGCATATAACATATTTTTGCTTTTTTTTTCAAATGTCAATTTTGTGTTTATTTTATTTTCTCAGGTTTTTTCAATGTTCGATTGTCTGAAAGATACTGATACATGTATGAGAATTCATCTTTTAAAAGTCTTAATAGATCAAACCGAAAGATCGTTTTTTCCCACTAAAGGTATTGTGTGAGCCAGAAATAATTAAAGCAATTTAATTTGTAAAATATGAGATTTCTATTTTCTCCTTTTTTCCCCTTTCATTTAACATTTAAAAATAAATTTAAAATTGCAATTTTGTATGAAAATGTATAAGCTAAGTTATAATCCAAGTACAAAAATTAAAAACAAAGACTATATAAACTGTAAAAGTTATGTAAGTCGCTCATTTGATTTGAAAATGCAAGATATTGAACACTGACATTTTGTCATTTAAAAAATATCTCGTCACCCATACACAAACATTTTTATTAGGCCATATTAATAGATCGTTAAAATATGATAAACATCATGTACGACGTTATATTTATAGTTATCGTATTGAAATTTTCAAAAAGTAAATTACATAATACTTCTTTGTCAGATAATACATTTTGTTTTGTTTAGAGGATGCACAGATGATAACTCAGGGTTTAAGACAAGCTATAGCAAACACAAACAAATCATACAACGACTTTAGTGTGATATCATTGATACGATGCCTCACGAAAATGTGTTTACACGCTGAAATAATTTATGAGGTGACATTTTGAAATTAATTACAAATTAGCGCTATTGCTTAGAGCCTCAAAAATCTATAGTTTCGATAAAATATTATATTTTAGGTTCTAGCTGCGGAACCACTAGACTGTCTTCTGAGCCTCATTCGATCTAACAATGTAATGGAACAAGAAGCTGCACTTGACTGCCTAAAAGCCATAGCTGAGAAAAAACCTGGCAATTATAAAATATCTGAGCAAAAACAAATAGTGTCGTTACTAGAAAAAATGCAAAGTTGTGAGCTCAAAATAATACAGAAAAAAGTAATCTCAGTTTTATGGCTTGTTAAACGAGAAGCAATAACTGTTGACAACCAACAAGGTAACAAAAAACGATTATAAATAGGAGATAAATCGACAGAAGAAAAAAGATTAATAGTGTTATAATAATAAAGCCCTTTTGGCAAATTTAACAATAGTTTGTAAAGTATTGTATTTTTTACAAGCTTTTATTTAACTTGCTTCCTCTGTCTGACGTCATTCTGTCTGTCTAGATCGAAACGCCCGATATGAAATTTCAGGCCCTTCTAACTGATAGATTCAGTAATTTCCGTTGAACGGAAGTACTAATTTACGCTATTTCCGATTTCTCAAAAAAAATGCATGTACATTTATAAAGTACTAATAATACTGCGCACTATTATGCACATTTTGTTTTGACGATCGCTTGGTGCGCAATTCTTTTTTCTATGAGATTCTATTCTATTTTTAAAAGTTTACGTAATAAAAAATCATGTCTACATTCCAAGTTATATAAAAATATTCGAGATAGTTTAGGGGAGATCACTCCCGGTTTATTTCTTAAAGTATAAAGTTGTTACTTATTTAAAATTAATTCTTACATGACATTTTTGCTTTACAGAAATCATAGCCCCTGGCTTTCCTGAGAAATGGGCAAAGTCGACGTTTCTTGGGAAAGGACAATATGGATTTGTATATCTTTTAAAAGATTTAAATAGAAATAACGATAAAAAGTTTGCACTTAAAGAAATGGAACTTGACGAGGATTTATTCCCAGTAAGTCATACATGCAGAAAAAAACAGTAATAAAACCATTGCGTGTATCTTCTGTAGTAAAAAAAATACTTCAGAAGCCCTTTTTACTTTCTCGTATATACGAAGTATATAGAAAGTCTTGTAATCGTGCACAAAAATCACATTAAAGTTGGACAGTTTTCACCGTTTTACTCCTCAGTCCTTCATCACATCCGGGATATAGAAGACTTATTTTAATCGGGCAAAAATCATAAACCCAGATATATAAAAATGTTGGCGTTTTATGCGTAATGGAGTTGGAAAAACGGGATTATCCAATTCTGTCCGTGTGTAAACACGATAACTTGAGTACCCTTACAGCTAGGTTGATGAAATTTCATATATAAGTATTTTATCAAAATCGTAGATCCGTATCAACTTTTGAGCGATTTCTGATAACCGGACGTGGTACTTTTTCTACTTTGAATTTTTCAAAAGCCTATAACTTGAGTTCTATTTCAGATAGATAAATGAAATTTCACATGTGAGTAAAAGATCTAATTCTCTACCATCTTTCAAATTTTGAGTAATTTCCGTTTATCGGAAGTACTTATTAACGCTACTTCCGATTTCTCAAAAACGCATGTCTAATATATAAAGCTCAGTTCTGTATATAATGCATATGATTGTCGTTGGAATTGTATGAATTTAAGTGTTAGAAAATTATCGTGCGCATTTGTCTAATTTTATGAGCTAAAAAATTACTATTGAAAGTGTTGGGAAATAATTTTCATTTTTCAAATTATAGTAATAATTGTCGGCATGTTCATTAAACACAAGTTTTAAAAAAATATCATCTTTTACAAAAATTCTAATTATGTCTTTATTTAGTCCTATAGCACTTACTTCCCTTTGATAAATTAGGAAAACAAAATTACTTCCCTTTATAAAACCATTGCATTAGTCGAAAATAATTTACTTTTTAATTACTTTGTTTTGGTGTTGGGAAAAAAAAAATTACATAATTAGCGGGGATTGATCAAGTGCAAATGTTGTAGGTATTTTACGGATAAGCTTGGAGTATTAAAATTGTTCATCAAATTGAAACAGGCGCGTTCGTTTAAGTGAGTGCAAAAGACTATGAATATGTTGGGGTACTATAGTCGTTCATTAAGCTAAAACAGGTGATTCCGCCCCGGGCGTTTATGTTCGCGTTAGTGTTTTCTTTGTGTTTAGGTGGGTTTGCGTTAGTGGTTGCGTTTTGATTTGGTTCGTTTTTGTTCTTTCTTTTTTCGTTTTTGTTTGTGTTTTTTTGTTTGGGTTTGTTTTTGTGTTTTTGGTTGGTTTTGCGTTTGGATTTGGTTTGTTTTCGTTTGCTTTTTCGTTGTTTTTTTTTTGTTGGTATTGGTGTTTGTGGTTGGGTTTGTTGTTAGGTTTTTGTTTTCGTTTGCTTTTTTGTTTGTTTTTTCTTTGTGTTTGTATTGGTGTTTGTGGTTGTGGTTGGGTTTGTTGTTAGGTTTTTGTTTTCGTTTGTATTTGTAATTGTGTTAGCTTTATGTTTGCGTTTTGTTGTTTTGGTTTTGGTTGGTTGTGGTTTGGGTGAGCAATGCCGGGTTTATGATGATTACTAAACACACAGGTAATGGTCTTTAACAGAAAGGTTTTTCACAGAAGCCAGAGCAGGGCCTGGCCGGGACGGCTAGTAAATTTATAAAGTACTAATAATATTGCGCACTATTATGCACATCTTTATTTAGCGTTCACTTGGTGTGCATTTCTTTTTTCTAAGAGATTATATTCTATTTTAAAAAATTTGAGTATTTAAAATGGATTAAAAATCATGTCTAGAAGTCTATATCCCGAGTTGCCATCCCCCGTAGTGTTATATTAGAATATTCGAGAAAGTTTAGGGGAGATCACTCCCGGTTTATTTTTATTATATACAGTATTATTTTCCAAAAAACCTTGAAAAATAAATTAACTCACTTTCCATTGTATGGCGATTTTTCATTAACATCTTTAATATATAATAAATAATACATTTTAATAATACATTTCGAAAATCTTCGAAAATTAAACTTACAATTTTAGACCATGGACAAAAATGCAATAATATGGAGTATTAATCTAACAAGATGGATAATTAAAATTAAAATTTAAAATTTAATTTAAAATATTTAATAGCATAAGACTTTTGAATATGATTTCAAAACGAAAAGTTTTCAAACATGCTAGTGAACTCTTGATCAGAGGACTGTTGTGGTGAAAAATGTATGGTTCGCTTAATTCGTTTCGTGCTTGATATTCGAGCAGGAGCTAACTAAAGGCAGCTAATTCCATTTTTAGAGAATACAATTGCTGGACGGATTTTAACGCAAACACTTTTAGTCGTTCGATATATAGTTCTAAAAAATTTTAATATAATATTACTTTAAAATAATATCTAAACCTTTGTGTAAAATTACTGAAGCTATATGATGTATGACTTTTATGCACGCTCCTCGATAGATAGCCATGCCGTGTGGATAAACTGTCGGTAAGACTGCAAGCCTTTGATGAAAGCTAAAAAATGACCGCGAGAAAATTCTCCTAGACCGAAACCGCTTTGTAATAAAAAACGTTTTGCTCCTCCGAAAATCGACTAAGAGCCGTTAAATATGAAAAGAAACCATATAATCTGTAACAAATACATTTTGTGAAAAGAAATTAAACAGACTATTATTAGCCGAACCAACTTCCTGCCAAATTTGAAGCGCCTAACCAAAGTCGACCTCATTGCTTTATATAGAGATATTGCATGAATCATAAACTCTTTAAAGGTAATTTTATGACCACGGATTATTATAATGCTAATAGTAGGTAATGTCATCACTTACGACAAATACCTTAACTTATGACTTTAATAGATAATGACAAAGGAAAACTTCATTTTAAAGTTATCCATTTATTTATGTACCAATGGCATCTATATATTTTACAGAAAATCAAAACAGAGCTGAAGATATTGTTCAGATTAAATCATCCGAGACTTGTATATTTTTTCGGATTTCAAAAGAAACAAAGCAGCATATATATGTTTTTCGAATACATGCCAATGGTAAAATTTTATCCTTTAAAAGAAATACTTTTTAAATTATTAGCAAAAAGTCATATAAATGGGAAGCGTGATCGAATAGTAGCTAGGAGGTCTTGGGCTTGGATCTTCTTGTGGTGCTGTGACTGTAATACGTCCATGATTCCCCACACCTATGATGAGCATCTAACTTACATTGTTCTAAGTAAAGGCGCCCGGGCATAGTACTGACCACACCATCCCGATGTCAAGAAACATATAAACTCTCCCCTATTTTCTCTACGGATTGCTATGTCAAAAGTGGAACTTTTTTTAAAAAATCATAGCTCGGATTATAAATTTAAAAAAATGTAATTATATTTATGTAAAACAAAATCAGCATGTAGCATAAGCTGTATATTATTTCAAAATGTATTACATAATACTTTATAATTTGGTTCAAAAGATTATAGTGGTAACTACATTTTCAAGTGTATTGAAAACTTAAAAAAATGTAATTTCTGATATTCATATTAGGGTTCACTTAGAACGTATATAAAAATTAAAAAGAGTTTGTGTGAGGAAAAGATCAAGTTATTTACAAGGCAAATACTAGAAGGGCTAAATTTTCTACATAACCAAAGCCCACCAGTTATACACAGAGATGTAAAAGGTAAGGCTAATTCATTGTAGCCCTAAAGTAATATTTTAATAGTCATATATGCTAATGCATTTTTTAAATTATTATAATAAACTCCCATTTCAAAATACTTACCAATAATTGACTACATTAACTGACAAAAAACAACAACTGATAAATGATTTAAATTTAATTAAATGTAATTATGATTGCAATTGTATCGGTGTGTTTAATATTAAAACAAACAAGATAATCTACAACATACATAGAGTATAGTGTGTGTGTGTGTGTGTTATTGTATATTTATATACCTACAGTGTAGTGTTGAATAGTTAAATATATATACAATATCGTCTAAACGGTTAGTACGCCTCATTATTAAAAAATGTATCTAAATAGCAAAAGAAAAAAAAAGACGACATGCATATTATAAAATATATAACGTTTTATACATATCCTGATTTTAGACAAAATTATCGAATGTCATTTTAAAAAAAAATAAATTTATTTATTTTCTACATTCGGTAGTTTGTCATTTTTAAATAGGTGAAAATGTTCTACTAGAAAATGAGCACAGAGTTAAGCTAGCCGATTTCGGATTGTCTAAAATTGTGACAAAATCCAATCAACCGAAATCATGGAACGCAGGTACTACAAAGTGGATGGCCCCAGAGGTGTTGAAAGGAAATACTGATACACCATACGACTGTAAAGCTGACATTTGGTAATGCTTTTGTTTAGTATCTCAGCTAAATTCATATTTAAAGATACATTTCAATAAATATTTAAAGCCATCAAATTGTAGCTAGTAAGTTATACATCTAAACGTTTCTTACGCCTGCTAAATTTATCTCAACACTTTGTTGTATGATATATAAAACCAAATACCTAATTGTTAAAGGGGTAGTCTCCGGTGAAAAATATTTTTTTTTTTAATTCTAGAGAGCAATTATTTTTTTCTACAGCTTTTTTAAGATACATCCGAATATGCACTTCCACTAAAAAATTCATAAAAAACGTTTTAATAACAAGCTTTTATGTAATGATGCACTAAAAAGTAGAAAATAAATTATAGACTACTATTTAAATAACTATAAAGAAAAGCGTGGGTGTCTTCCTTAACATTAGTAAAGGTATCCAATAGATACTAAAGTGACCCACGCTTTTCTTTATAGTTATTTAAATAGTAGTCTATAATTTATTTTCTACTTTTTAGTGCATCATTACATAAAAGCTTGTTATTAAAACGTTTTTTATGAATTTTTTTTTCAGTACTTTACATGTTTTATTTACATGTTTAGAGTTACATGACTAAAAACCATTGCGCGCCTACTGAACATCACGTTCAGTAGGCGCGCAATGGTTTTTGAACGCCGCCATTACGTGATGGCGCAGCTATTGAAGGTGATGACGCGTGTGGTGTGGTTGGCTCGACATGCCTACTAATTCGGTCCAAATTTTAATTAATTCATAAAAAATTAATTAGGCATCCAATTAAGTCAAATTTAGTTTCAGATTGCATTGTCTTCATGTCTTGACCCACGTGCCAACTGTGAATCGTATCGGTCAAGTAGAACTGTCCGAATTTTCACTCCTGCGTTTCCGTCTAGACAGACTGACGAGGAAGTGAGTTAAATAAAAGCTTGTAAAAAAATGGTAATGTTTTCGTAACTCCAACAACGGCGGCCATCTTGAAAATTAACCTCTTCGAAGGATTTACACCTTTCGTAAAATATTACATTTTAAGTCCAATAAACAATTTATTCATGATCTTCTACCATATTTTGGGGCACTCAGCCAAACATTCTAAGTGCACATCTTTCAACTAATTTCGTATGAATTTTCAAATTTTGGATCCGGTAAAAACCCTTAATTTTCGGGAATTTTGTGGTATTAAATATATTGTTTTTGACGGATCCACTAACCTTCTTCCTTCCTTCCTTATACGGAAACCGGCTCAGAAGGTTGACTTCCATCAGCCAGGCAGGCCTCAGTGTAGCAAACTCCGACCACAAGAGTTTCCCACACATCGGTCGCTACTTCCGTGGGCTCTCACCGGGCTTTCCTTCCCCACCCACCAGACGCGGGACGTCGTCCCACCGCCTGGTACCCAGCTTGATCGTGGGGGGCATTCCGCCAGATCAAAACCCTCTAGCTGCTGTTATCTGCCACTGGCCATTCCGCACCCACTAGGGGGGACATGAGTTTGGTCGGACCAGTGGCATTATTCCGAAGCCCCGTTAAGGCCGCCGCTTAAAGTCAAGACATCTGGTTAGGGTCGAGAGCAAAACCCTTCTCGGTTCCCGGCAGTCTTGCACCTCTCCTCCCCCACGCTATTATGTGGGGGACTTGGGAGTCCGACGTACCAGGCTCTTCGGAAGAGCCGAACGCATACAGCAGCTCTACTCGGCCAGATCAAAAACCTCTAGCTGCTGTTGGCTACCACTAGCCATCCCGCACCCACTAGGGGGGTCATGAGCTTGGTCCGACTAGTGGCACACATCCGAAACCACGTAAAGGCCGCAGCTTAAAGTCAAGACATCTGGTTAGGGTAGAGAGCAAAACCCTTCTTGGTTCCCGGCAGTCTTGCACCTCTCCTCCCCCACGCTATTTAGAGCAAGCAACGGAGATTCGCCAGTCTAGTGCGGACAAATCTCCCGGCTCGCTCATGTAGGGGACTTGGGAGTCCGACGTACCAGGCTCTTCGGAGCCCGTCCTACGAAAGTCCTACAGCGGCTCCTTCCGTAGGTCTCGGGCGTACAGATCAAAGACCCCTAGCTACCGCTAGCTCCCCGGGTAGAAACCCGGGTCCCCTTCCGCGACCACGAGGAGGTCGTAGCTTCAGGTCGAAACATCTGCTGTAGGGCCATAAAAACCCCTTTCGTTCCCAGTCCCTGTTCATCCACTCCAGCCCACATGGCTGCGGGAGTCCGAGGGCACCAGGCTGCGCGGAACCACTAACCTTCTAATAGTCGTAACGTCTCAAGGTAATTGATTAAATGACGTCTAATATCGTAATGTAGTAAAACGTTAACATAAAATTGTTACCACAACGTGCACTATTAAAATACAATGTGATGGTATAACGTATTGATTAGTTCGGCCAGTGCATATGGTTTTAAAATATTATCTTTAAAAAGGTGAAAAAAAATGATCAAAATAATTGTGTCAATCATTTAGGAGTCTGGCCTGTACAGTTGTAGAAATGGCCACACAACATCCACCATGGCCAAAACACGAGGAAGTACAACACATGTATCAACTGGCAAAGGAATCTCAACCCGAGTACACTCTTGCAGAAACATTTTCCCAAGATATACGCGAAGTTTTAAATAAAATGTTTCAGTACGATCCTGCAAATAGAGCATCAGCACGCGAACTTTTGAATGAATCGTATGTTAAATGGAATTTCAAATCATACCCTTAATTTAAAGTGTATAATTAATTAGAATATGCTCATTATTGGATCATAAATTAAAAATTGTCTTCAATATTTTAAAATAACTTTAATCACATATATAAATGGAGGCTACGGAGTTGAAGACAATATCCTTCTATCCTATTGTTGACATGGACATCTTTCGTTGTTGGTTTTTGTTTTAATTTTTAATATTCGGATTTTATAGTGCCCGCAAAAAAAAAAAAAAATCTTTAGCCTAAAATAATTCAGAAATTTAATATTTATAGAATCAATGTTATAAATGTTTTCAAATCCAGATAACTTGAATTGTTTTTTTGTTTTTTGAGATTAAGGTACGTTTGTATTTAGTTTTATTAAACCTAAGTTATAACCAGATGATTCACTCTCGTAAGATAAACTTTAATTGGCTTTACAGGAACTACGTGATCGTTATTTCTTTACACTTTACAGGTAAAGTTTTAAAAAAAACATAATGCTATTTTAAACAACATGATATAGTTCTGCAATGGTTGATTACATTTTGTATAATACAATCTATGCTAGCCTATAAAATGCCTTGTATATGTCTTCATTATCACGTGAAAACCAAATTGCTTTTGCTTTTATAGCTGAAAATAATAAAATGCCAAATACATTCACTATTTTTTTAAATCTGAAAAATCATAAATAATGAGGGTTTATATCCACATTAGTTTTAGTTACACCAAGCATTTTTTTAAAGATTTAATTGGCGTCTCGAATACATTTGAGACTATTCTGCTTGGGTCGATTAATAGATTTTTAATCTGAAAACATAATTTCAAGAAAAAAGGAAGTAGGCCTATACGTTTGTCACTGTCATTATAAAAATTATTTCGTTAACTTTCACAAAATAAAATAAAAATGAAATTTGTCATTGTGTATTTCAAAAGCTGTTTTATATTTAGCCTTATTCATGCATTTTATTTTTTAAAAGCATGGTTCTTATACTTATCGTTAATACATATAAGAATTCAAATATGCAATATCATTTCAAACCATAAAAAGTATATAAAATAATATTCTAATGCGTGTAGAAACCACTTGCGTGCGTAAGATAAAGATTTAAAATATTAGGCCTCAGTATTTTTAAATTAACAATGAATATATAAGATGTACTAATGTTTTCGTTTTTAGTTTCATCAGATATATCTTATTTTGAATACCTTCCTTTGATTTTTAGTTAACTGTTTAAATTATGCTATTATGTCATTATTAAAATAATTATAAACAGACAAGCGATATATTCGGGTACAACAATTGTGCCGCACATTATATTTTTTATTAACCAGAAGGTTTTAAAAAAAAAAATAGATTCAGTTCCAAAATGTGACATTGTTCGTGTTAATACAACATAGAACCATTCAAAACGTTATGTTAGCCATCTATTACATGCTAGCCGTCGGTACTTGTTTCACGTGAATTATAGGCCTATATATTTTAATGTTCCACTTGTTTGAGAAAATATTGCTTCAAACATTTATTGCTCGAAACGCAATATTCTTTACTACACGTCAAATGATATTAGTGACAAAACAAAAAAGTAACAAAATAGCTAAAAATCCTATACATTTAAAATAAAATAGGCTACCAATACCTATTAATAAACAAATTATTTTCATTATTAGTCAACACAACACGATATTAAATGATTACACTGATTAAGATAATTAAATGGTTCCTTTAAAAAACACGGCTGTTCAACGGCTTTTCTGTTGTTTTTTAAAGTTATTTATATAATTTTTTGCCGAGAAAATTGTATACATTTCATAGTGTAGCCTACGTCTCGATAAATAGATCTATAGATCTAATTCATATTTGAATGAAATAGTTTATTTCTTTATATTCTAAAATTGGAAGATGACGCCATTGGTGTTTGTGTAGTTTCCATTGTTTAAATATGTGGCAAGTGACATCATTGTTTATTGCGTTCTTGTCACAACCATAAACACGTTTTCGGTTGCATAATTAAAAGTGTGTTTCTTCATTCAAATATGCCTTTATTTTTTTCCTTCTTTAAATAAAATGTATTTTATTTATTTAAAACACCCAGCATGTTATTTTCAACATAAGTCAGTATCGAGTTCTCCATATATCGCTGAAGATACTGATCTCATGGCCTGTAAAAATATTTTTTAGACAGAGAGAGAGAGAATTGCGCACATATCTAATATATAAAGCTCAATTCTGTATGTAAATATAAATTTGTTTGTCGTGGATACTTTGATGGATTTAAGTGTTAGACTATTATCGTGCTCATAGTCTACATTTATGAGTTAAAAAATTACTATTGAAAGTCTTTAAAACAATTTTCATTTTATGTACTTAGGATAATAACTTTTAATTATGAACATTACATAAATTTTTTAAAAAGTGTATCAACGTTTATAAAATATCTAAATTTGTGTCTGAAATGTATTGACTGCACAGTTACTTCCCTTTAAAAAAAATATTAAATCGGGGGAAGAAAAAATTTACTTTTTATTACTTTATTTTGGTGTTAAGAAAAAAATAATTACATAATTAGCGGGGATTGATTAATGTCGTTGGTATTTTTAATACTGCCTTTTATTTATTCTATGCACTGAATATACTGTTCAATAATTTTTTTTAACTCGATAACATTTAATAAGCCAGGTCCTAAAAATCCTATATGTTTATTTCTTTCCATTTACGGATAAGCTTGGAGTATTATCATTTTGTTTACTATTTTTGAAATAGGCGCATCCGCCGGCGCCCCTGCACGGTTCGATTTGGCACCCTGGGCTATCATGTGAGCGCTATGCTGCATAATTTTTTTTTAAACAGTGCGATAGACTATGGATAAGAAAGGTTACTATAGTCTTTAAGTGAATCAAATCCGGGCGTCCTCCGGCACCCCGACAGGGTGCTATTTTGGCGCCCCTGGCGTTCCCGTGTACGCTATGGTACCTACGTCCGCGTGAGTTCAAAAGACTATGAATAAGTTATGTACTATAGACGTTTACTAAGTTGAATCAGGCGGTTACGTCATGGTGCATCCTCTGGCGCCCAGACAGGGTGCTATTTGGGGCCCCGGGCTTCCCGTGTACGGTTCGGCGCCTACGTTCGTAAAAGTGAGTGCAAAAGACTATGAATAAGTTGGGGTACTATAGTCATTTATTAAGCTGAAATAGGCGATTCCGCCCCGGGCTAGACTGTGAGCACTTTGTGTTTATGTTCTCTTTAGTGTTTTCTTTGTGTTTAGGTTGGGTTTGCATTAGTGGTTGCGTTTTGATTTGGTTCGTTTTTGTTCTTTCTTTTTAACACGTTTTTCTTAACTCAGCTTCGCGTTTGTGGATTTGTGGATTTGTTTGTTTGTTGTTAAAATTGACATCGAAAATTAGCCCACTTCTGATTGCTCAATAGATCTGAAATTTGGCATGTAGGCTACTTTCGCCTAACAATTTCAGATGCAATCATAAAAACTAGCAATTAGAGACCGTAATTAGCTTAATTTAATTAGGCCCCAAGGACCATAAAATTGAGGACATGATTTCTAAAGATACCGACAAGACTGGAGGCCTATTAGCACAGTTACTTCGGCCCCAATCGATGTGAGCGCGCTGGCCGTGATCGTATAGTGGTTAGTACTTCGCGTTGTGGCCGCGACAACCCAGGTTCGAATCCTGGTCGCTCAAGATTTTTAGTCCGTGTATTTATAAACACTTAGTCAAGTCATACTTAATCAAGTCATTAGATATAGTAGCAAATAAACTATATAAAAAACTTTTTTAAAAACAACGTTTTTCATGTGTAGCAACGGACTAAAAAGGAGAAAATAAAATACTTAAAAAAACTTTTTTAAAAACCACGTTTTTCTTGTGGACTAAAAAGTAGAAAATAAATTTTCATACGTTTGATGACAAAAAACGTCGGTCGGGCAGATGGGTCGGGAAATTTGATGGTGAACGTACCCACGTTTTTTGCCATCAAATGTATGAAAATTTATTTTCTACTTTTTAGTCCACAAGAAAAACGTGGTTTTTAAAAAAGTTTTTTTTAAGTATTTTATTTCGTTTTCGTTTGGGTTTTTTCTTTGGGTTTGTGTTTGTGTTTGTGGTTGGTTTTGCGTTTGGATTTGGTTTGTTTTAGTTTGCTTTTTCGTTTTTTTTTGTGTGTTCGTGTTGGTGTTTCTGGTTGTGGTTGGGTTTATTGTTAGGTTTTTGTTTTCGTTAGCTATTTTATTTGTTTTTTCTTTGTGTTTGTATTGGTGTTTGTGGTTGTGGTTGGGTTTGTTGTTAGGTTTTTGTTTTCGTTTGTATTTGTAATTGTGTTAGCTTTATGTTTGCGTTTTGTTGTTTTGGTTTTGGTTGGTTGTGGTTTGGGTGAGCAATGCCGGGTTTATGATGATTACTAAACACACAGGTAATGGTCTTTAACAGAAAGGTTTTTCACAGAAGCCAGAGCAGGGCCTGGCCGGGACTGCTAGTGCTTTTATATATTAGGATTCTATATTACTGTTACGATAATTATAATAATACATTTATTATTCTACTATCTTATTTAAAAAAAAAATCATACATATTTTAACAGCAAGCACATATGTCAAAATGTAAAAACGTATAATTATTTACTATGATTGTGTATACTAGTAATATCTTAAAATAATGATTAATTAAAATATATTTAAATAACATTTAGCACTATACATATATATAGCAAATAAGCATAACATAAATTTTATAATATATATATATATATATATATATATATATATATATATATATATATATATATATATATATATATATATATATTATAAAATTTATGTTATTCTTATTTGCTTTCTGCGCATCTTAGATATAATGTGATACTTTAATTATTTTTTACACTTTTAATTTATATAAAATATTTAGAATGTTAAAGAAAGAAATCAAAATGGTACATGTAAAGAACTGTTATTGTTTTTAGTTATTAAAAGATACTATTTACAATTGTAGCTTACATGCATAACACACATTTATATTTACACTTTTTTTTACTATTTTGCATTACATATTTACACTATACTACTTTGTTTTTTTAAATGCATGGGTTGATAAAACCAGAGCTAAGATATCCTTAACAATTTAAGAATAAATTATGTATTACTGCGCAAAAGGGTAAAATATATTTTTATATAGGTGTTTATATTAAAAGTCATTTTTCCTTTACTGCGCCAGCGCACTATTCAAATGTGTGATTAATAGGAGCTATATTTATGTGTTAATTAAACGACCAACTTAATTGTCTACACAAATATTAAAAATAAATACAACCCTTCTTTAATGTTTATAACTTTTACAATTTACATACATTTTTACAATATATACAAAACCCCTTAAATTTACCAAGAGAATTTTATTTTTATTTTAGAAGTAACTCATTCATATCAACATTTTTATTCAATGTCAGTGATTATTGATTGATTTTATGTTTAATACCAGTTTAAAAGTAATATTAAATTGATTGCAGTGTTAATTGTAAACGATTCTTTAAAATTAAAATGGCTGCTTAATATACAATTGAAATTGATTTGTATTCCCATTCTGAGGTTACAAATAAAGATGATTATTTATATATTTTTAATTCTACATTATGTAAGCATTGTTTACTAATATTATCTGAACGTAATTTCTAAAATATAAAACATTTTTCCAGTAACAAAATTATATTTCAATGAAAAAAGATACCGTATATTTAACAATGATATTTTATATATTAAAAACAAAAACAAGCAAGTAAACTCTGTTATCATATGATTGCTTAATTTAAAAATTAAATATCATAATTCAGTGTTGTAGGTATGCCAGTTTAGTTTCTGCCAGCTTAGGTAGAAAAAAAAGGATCGATTATGCTATTGATAGAGTTGTGTGCCTATGTTAAGTGCCGGAAGAATCCAATAACATAGATGACGATGAATCTACTTACAACGTACATAAATTTATTTACAACGAGTATCGATTTAGTCATAATGACCATTGCTTTAATTAAACAAAGCTTAATTTACAAGGGGACGATGTTATCAGTTGACCCGGTGACAGGGTAGACAACAACCGCGCAGTTACTTGACACGTGTTACATATATAACTTTTCTTTAATGGTATGTTAAAGATATAAGTGTGTAGTGGACTAAAGTTCTCCTTTCTATACGTTTTGTTTTCGAAAGAATCCTAACAGCTTGGTTTGTGTTTAAATTCAAACGGCAAGTATTATGTAAGTGATTTTATTTCAATGTTATGCCAGCGATTAATAAATAATAAAAGAGATAAAGAAAACAATATCATTATAACATGTTGTTTCATCTAAACATTTGTTGTGTAGCCTACTTTGCTTATCTTCCTTAACAAGCGTTGAACGGATTTTACTTCAAAAATTAAGTTTGAAACTTAAAATAATAATTCAAATGAGCGATGATTTTGATTAAACGTTGTTGCCATTATACGAAGCGAACTGTATTCGTTTAACTGAGTCTTTATTGATTAAAACTTTACTTTATTTGATTGTAAAAGTATAAGCTGAATTTATAATGAGATTTTATCTTGATCAGCGTTACTTCTTACCTTTAAGCTAGAAAAAATCGATAAGGAATAAGTTCGCTTTTTTTTCGCCTCACGTAAGTAGAGTTTCATTGACAGATCGTCAATAAATGTCATAAACATATGGTCATGTTTTTGAGTGTTGAATGCTAATGTGTCGTAAGTTTTGCTAAGAGTTAAATGCATGAAAAGTCACAACGTAGCTGTAATGATAAAATTGAAATGTAGATTGATTTTTCTACTTCTTAGAAATAAGCTCAACTAAAGTGTATGCTTGCTATTTTTTCTAAATTAAAGTGTTTTAAAATGTGTTTTTCATGTAACACTCGAGTGTGTTATTTGATGCAATATTTGGTTATTTTCTAAAACATGTATAAATACAAAAAGTCTGTTTTCTATATGTAAGCTGAATAGAACGTAACATAATTAAAAAAAACAATTAATGTACTAATGGTCAATAACTACGATCATTTTTATTAGCAAGGGTCTTATTTACAAAAAAAATATTGCTTGCTGTGTAATATGTCTTTTGACAAATAACTTTCTGGGGAAAAAAATGTTTTTTTTTTAATCTAATTAGATCAGAAAAAAAATAAGTGGGTTTCGCAAATTATATTGGTTAATTAAGAATCTGATACAAAAAATAATACACACACACATATATATATATATATGTATATATATAAATATATATATATATATATATATATATATATATATACATACATATATATATATATATATATATATATATATATATATATATATATATATATATATATATATATATATATATATACATATATATATACATATATATATATATATATATATATA